GGAAAAGTCATGCTCGAGCGAACCTTCACATCTTACATGTCCGCTCGAGTGGGGAAAGACACGCTCGAGCGTGGACCTTATTTTCAGCAAAATTTGGGAAATGTTTTCAAGTGCATTTTTGCATTCTCATTCCATCCTAGGCATTCCTAGGCCATGATTAAGACCCCATAATGAGGATAATGATGTATGTACACACCAGAACAAGAAAGGACCAAGTTATCATTTTCGGGTGTGTAATTTTGGATATGTTCGTTTTGTAACTATGTAGGTCAAGTGCCACTGGAAAGTTGAATTGCCTACTTACGACGCCTAATATCTGTGAGTAATAACTTAGTAAAGCTATGTTCAAATCTATGTATTTTCTATATATGAAATAAGATCTGTTGAAGGAAAAGCCATGTTTATTACTATGAATGATTGTCCGACGTAAAAAACAATTATAATGCCATGCTATGATTCAAGTATGTTGCAAGTGATGTATACTATGATTCAAGTATGTTATAAATGACATGATATTATGATGGAAGTATGCTATAAGTTCCCAGACCAGAGGTTCCTATGGAACTGATAAGCTATTTGTGCTCGGCTGGAGGTTCCTGAGTGGAGCTGACAAGTATGCAGGTTCCTAGTCCGGAGGTTCCTATATGGGACTGACAAATTATCTTTACCGGGCCGGAGGTTCTTCCATAGAACTGACAAGTAAAAATTTAAGCCACTCTGTGTGAGATCTATTTGTACTGATGAACATATGTGAAAGATTAAGCATGAATTCTGACTTTTGTCTACATGCTCAGAGCAAGAAAATGAACATGAATTGTTTTATTTCAGCTACGATATTGAGACATCATTCATATACCCCTTTACTCAGTTATTATTCGCTGGGCCTCCGCTCACTAGTTATTTATTATGTATATAGGTGAGCAGGTTCGTGAACAGGCCTGAGTTGATGCCTGAGGTTTTTTTTTGTGTTGTCAGCCACCCTTCGCCCCTCACGAAGAGGTTCCAGATCATGTCATGTTTGTGGCTATGTGAATGTTAATGTTCAAGATTGATCCTTTTGTTTCTTTGAACAAGTTTCCCTTTTGTATGTACTTACTAGTGACATGTAAATACTGTATCTATGACGCCACCCGTACATCTATAAAAGTTTAAAATTATCAGTCTCATGTATGTCTGCACAGCTCGATGGACTATGTATATTCTATGTATTTACTTCCGTAGCCCCTGACTATATGTTGTTATGCTAAGAGGCCTTCGGTGATCCAAGGATTACTGGCCGGTTACGTCACTGAACCCATAGGGGCGAGTTCGGGTTGTGACAGCTTTTTATGCTTTGTCTAGTGTGTTAAGTGCTATTGGCTATCTTTGAGAGATAATTACTGACTTGATCGTTGGAGTGCCCCCGGGTGAACAAACCACCGTCGGATTCTTATCTTTCTGTGACAGGTTGTTCGGGTTTAATCTATTCTTCCGTTGCTCTTCTGCTAAGTTTCCCTGTTTGGTTGTGTGGTCAAAAATCAACACCTACACTTAACATTATTTTGAATAAAATAAAAACCTAACTAATACAAAAACAACAAAATAAACTCAGATATTACATATCTAGAATTAGGAGTTTTTAGTTTGAGGTTCTTGATATTAATTAGGATTTTATAAGATAAAAGACATGTAACATTTTTATAGTAGTTAAGATCCCTTAACATTTTCATAAAGAAATTTCTAGCTCTTCACAGAAAAATTTATTTTTTCAAAGAGAAATTTTAGCTATTCACAAAGAAATTTCTCTAATAATATTATTGAGGGATTTTAACTAATAAGAAAAAACATATTGGACATTTCCTGCTACCCAAAGTTGGAGAGAGATGCTTCACTAATTCTTTCCTAGGATTACCCCCAAATAAATGCCAAATTTTAAACAATAATGATTGAGACCGTCATTTTTTGGAAACCCCCACAACCCCCTTTGGATCTCCATCATTGATGGTGTGGGTCCTATACATACATGAGTGGGTCCCACACATACATCAATGGTTGAAGTCTAAAGGGGATTGTGGAGGTCTCTAAAAAATAGGAATCTCAAGCATTTTTCAATTTTAAAATGTGTGAATTAGATTCTTTTTAAGTGTGACCCAAGCCATTTCAAGTTTAAATTTAATTACGGGACAGATTGAAATTCTAAACATTTTTCTCAATATTTTTTTGGGAAATATCAAATCAGTGGAATTTTGTAAAAATAATTATAAATTAGAGATTTTTTTTATAAATATTAATAATTAAAATTGTAAAATCTTTTTTCATAAATTTATAATTTTTTTCAAATTCCCACAGTGTGCAATTACCCCATATTTTTTGGGGGATACATAACCATTTTTGTGAATAAAATATCCAAAAGTTAAGTATGGCTCATGAATTGTGTATATGTAAATAATTAGTTCTTCTAATCTCCTTGATGACTAGGAAATTATAGCTTAAACAAAGATACCCATTTTAATTTTACGTTGTATTTGGTTAGGAGATTTAAGGACAAATTTAAAAAGAAAAAAGGAAAAGATAAGTAAAATATGAATAAAATATACTCGTATTTCATATAATTTCACATACTTTTTCTTTTTCATTTTTGTTTTTAAATTTCTTTTTAAATCCCTCAACCAAATATAATATTAAGGAAAACCAAAAAACAAAAACAGATACCCATTATGCATGATGATGGTGCATTCTTTGCGGAAACAAAATCGCTTTCCCACATAAACTCGTTAACGGTTTGTTCAGATTTTATATTATTGAAAAAAGGGAAAATTACACATCATTGAAGTTTTTCAAAATAAATTTCAAATCAATAAGAAAGTATATAAGTATTAATAATTAAATTTATAAACTTTTTCATGTAAATATTTTGTAAATTTTCCACTAACATGAAATTTTCCTTAACAAAATTAATTTATATTTTTTTACTTTTTTTTTTTTTTCATTTATCTTGCCTTTCCACTTATCTCTTTACAAATTTAAAATCAAAACACAATCTAAACTTATTTGAATATTGATTTGTGGAAAGAAAAGAAAACGAAAAGGCATAAATAGGTGCAAGACCCCTTACATATGAGTAATGTTAGAGATATCAAATTTTCTATTAAATAAATCATAAAATGTCTCACATGAGTGTGAAATCCGTAATTTTGTGAACCCCACACCACTATTTGAAACATTTAATTATTTATTTGATAAAAAATTTAGAATATATAGCATTTTTAAAAAATTTAGGACATATAGTATTTTTTCTTACATATGCCCTTTTTGTAAATAAATATTGGGTGTAATAATACACCACTCTACGTGGTATTCCATTATCACAAACAAGTTAAGTGAGACGTCATTTTCTTCTACTAACTCAACTATGCAATTATATTATTGCAATGCAAATTTTTTTTATTGATTAATAATATCATCACATGATATTATTGTTATATTCAATATTTATTCTATCTTCACAAATATTAAATTACACATAAAATTCAAAATTCTATTTAGAGCACCAATGACTCACCTATTGTGGTTTTTGGTCATTCTCATTCTCATTCTCAGTCTTGTTTCAAAATTCTACTTATTCTATCTTCACCTATTTTCACCCTTTAATATAATTGCTTATATAAATATTCATAATTAGTTACTTATTTAAAAGTCATTAAAAAATAGGCATTGTTATTCTAGCTCAAGAATTAAACTTAATAATGTGACAATCAATTATAATATTTAAGACAACTCTTTCTCATACATTCTCTAATCATCAACCAATTATTTTATTTTTTTTGTTGTTGTGATAATCGGGTATCCAAGCCAACATACGCGCATACTAATCCCAGGACCCTCAAGTTAATGACTGGGCAAACCTTTAGTAGCCCCAATGTTTGGAATATTTGATTTTCGTGAAATTCGACCCTGTAGTATGACCTTTGATTGCTTCTCCTCTCTCACTAAGCCAAACCTCTTGGGGTTACCAATTCCTTACAAAATTAATGAAGAAGCATAATTCTCTAATAATATAACTCATTAATATTACTAAAAGTCACAAGCCACCCAAAATTCCAAAATGTTTCCATATAAAGATGGAAAATTAACAAATTGCTACTGTGTGTGTGTGTGTGTGTGTTACTTAATCAGATAAATTTGAGTGAATTGATAGTGTAGAACAAATCACAGCCCAACCAGACTTATCTGTATTTAACTAAGGCCAACAACTTGACCTAATCTGCTTACCAATAAAACAATATACATAGCTTTCACGTAAACAACCCTTGCTTGCCAACTTAACATTACAAGCATAAAACTAATTTCTCAGTTTCTCTCTCCAAATCTGCTAGTCAAATGAGAGGGTTGGCTTCACAAAACTCTGATTAATTTTATTGCAATTTGGCCACCAAAAGCCCTCTAAACTTCAAAAAATGGCCTACACTTCTGTTTTTTTTTTTATGTTTTTTTTTAATTTTTGAAATTTAAAATGAAAACTTATTGCATACCATGCATAAAAATCATATCGGTGCAATTTGGATTTATTTTCAGAATCAGTTTTATGAAATCTCTTTCAAAAAAATAAAAACGAAGATAGAAAAAATAAATGAAAACATTATCAAGCAGGGCCTTGTGTTGTGGTTTTCCAAAATTTTGAGGGCTTTTCGTGGCCAAATTGGAGTGAAGTTTTTCTATTTGATTTGATTTTTAGAATCTTTTTTTCTGATTTTTTTTTTATAAAAAATTAATAATAATTTGGTGAATAAAATGAAAATTTCAAAAACAATAGTCATTTTCATGTGGTTTTATCTTTATTGAAAACAAAAAATAATTTTTAAAAATTTAAAAATATTTTTTAGCATTTATTTTTCAAAAAACTAATTTTCAAAATAAAACCAAATAGATACAAGACATAAAAACCAAAAGCCTCAGATTCTCTTTCCCAATCTGCTAGTCAATGAGAGGTGTTGGCTTCTCTCATAATCTATATTCCAATTTGGTCACCAAATGACTTATAAACTTTAGAAAACCACAACACAAGCAACTGACTTTTTAAATCAGGTTTTCTCTTTATATATATCGAGTACTATTGTGTCTAGACCTTCATAGTTTGTTTGTTGATCACAACAATGGCACAAAAGAAGTTTGTGGTTGAGATTGAGAAGGCGAAGGAGGCAGCCAACGGGCAGCCGTCGATGGGACCTGTTTATCGAAATCTACTAGCGAAAGATGGATTCCGGCCACTGACTCCCGGAATTGATAGTTGTTGGGATATTTTTCGGTAAGTTTCTATGTGAAATTTCTCAACTTGATGTTAATTTGACTTTCAAGCAGTGTTGCACCAACAAAAAATTTATTCAAAGGTTTATTTATAGAATGATGTGATTAAATTGAAGTCATTTGGGGAAAAAATGTCTTTCATTTTATCATTACACATGTAATTTTGATATAATTTTGTGTAAGAATCCATCAAATAGTCTATGTATCATTGTATCATTATGAATTAAGAATAAACTTTTTCTTATGTCATGTCAGTCTAAGCATGAAATCATTGGACATTTCTTTTGTGGCTTTTCACATGTGAATAAATACTCCTTTAAGTTTATTCGAATTTATTCTTATTGTTACGTGTTACTGATTTAATTTAAAAATAGTAACACACTAAAAATAATGGGACACACAAAGGACGGGTCCCATATTTGGACCTCACATCATATAAATTCTCATATCTTGTAATTATATGAGACCAATTCTTTGAGAGACATTAATGTCATTCTATGTGTTTAGCCTCTATCCACTTAAACTTATTTAAAACAAACAAGTAGATTACAAATTCCAATTACTTGATCATGTGTGCAAAAATCAATTTAATTTTAGGTACATTTTACTTTCCTTAGACCTTGTATTTATGGGTCACAAATTTTTTGTCATTTTAGTTTTTATTTATAATTATTCATATTTACTTATATTAAATTATACCAAACAAGCTCACTGTGTTTTAGTTTACCACATCAACTTAATCGACAAAAATTATTTAATTTTTTTTTATACGGGCATTGTCTAAGCGTTATATTTTTGCCAGATCAGCAATATTATATTCTACTTTTTTATTTTTCTTGCGTGGTAGATGATTTTTTTTTTTTTTGTTTGAGGAAAGTATGGTAGGTGATTGATTGTTCTCATCAATTTTCTACCTACAAGATTAATAAATCCACACCATATACAAATTTAGTGAAATTCTTAATATGAATGCATTGATTACTAGAATAATTAAGGTAATCACGACACAATAAATCTAGAAAAGTATCTAAAAAGAGGAACGTAAGAAATATCAAAAATTCTACTAAAAAATGTTATACCAAATGTCTTATATGGGTGTGAGACCTATACAATGTGGGTCTCGTGTGGGTTCCACACCCATATGAGATATTTGGTAAATTTTTTGATAAATGTGTTTTGTTAACAATGGACCATACCGCACTTCTTCAGAATGCAATTGGGAAGATGGGTTGAGTTGGGTTGGGTTGGGTTGGGTTGGGTTTGGGTTTGGGTCTATTTTAACCACAAAAATACAAAATAGACTTTTTAGTCTAATAAAACAAAATATCACATCTAATCCAGAATTATTATATTCTTTCTCTTATAAAAAGTCAAAAAAGTAAAAAAAAATCATTCCCAAATGAGACTTTTTAGCCCTAGGCTAAAATAACAAAAAAACAGAAAAATCAAAAAGTCAACCCACTCCCCAAACAAAGCCTAAATAAGGTTAATTACTCCCATCATTATAGAGAGTAAACAAAGGCAATAAATATATTGTATTATATTATGTATTTTCTAATGTGACTACAATACGTTTTTATGTATTTCTTTTCATTTTATCTTTTTATTATTATTTTTTATTCGTTCACCTCCCACCCACCGTGTATTTTCAAATTAATTAATCAAATAAATATTCAAATATTATTTATAATTTTAAAATATTTTATTTTCATCTAAAAATTTATATTTTATTTGCATTTTTCATTAAACTTTAGGCGTATCTATAATTTATCTAAAAGTTAAATTTTTTTTCACATAAAACATGATTTCTTTTTATTAAAGACCATAAAAAAAATATGAAAGACAAAAAATTCAAAGGTAAATTACAATTACACCCTTGAGGTTTATTAAAAATATAGATTGCTCCGCATGATTTGAAAAATTACAAATACTCATTTGTCAGAATTTTTTATTTGACAGAATTAATTAAAAAAATGAAATTCCTAACTGCTTTCATATACAATGATAAATTACCTAAATTATTAATTGAAATATATTTTTGACATCATTAAAAACTATTAATTAGTTTGATGATTTATTAATAAAATGGATCATTTGTTATGAAATTAGAAACTTTAAGAGAAATGATATAATTTTCAAAATTATAAAACATAAATAGTATTTTAGGCAAATCTTAAAAAATGTATTTATACTTTATAAAAAAAAATTAATAACAATTTTAAAAAATTAAACCAAACGAAGTGAAAATAAAAGCCTCCCTAAAAGCCCAAGGGCATTATGGCCCAACTCAAAAAATAGAGAAGAAGCCCTTTCTAGTTTTCCCTCGCTCTCTTCTCTCCTCCATAAGTTCCCGCCTACCCTTTTTTCTTCTCTAGAAAATTCTTGATATTTTCCGGTAAAGTGAAAAAGCTCTGTTTGGTTATAGGAAAGGAGAAGAAACGCGAGGAAAGGACTTGTATAATAATCATTTCATTTTTTTAGTTTATATTTAAAAATTTTAAAAATTGTCATAAAAACTTATTTGATAATTTTTTTAATTTATGAATGGTTGTCTCAGTTTATAAATTTGAGAAAAAAACGTAAACTTAAAAAATGAGTTTACATTGGTTTTTAAATAGAAATTTAAAAATTTGATTACAAATTTTTTTTTTCAATTAATTTGTTTTTTCAATTAATTTTTTTAAATAATTTTTTTTCCAAATAAATTTTTTTTTCAATTAATTTTTGGGTGATGCACCAATAAATCCTAATTTGTGAACTTGTGAATTGTTTGGTCATAAATGTTTTCTTGTAGACTGAAAGGTCTCAATTATAGAAAAATTGACGATAGAGGGCATATACATCGCGACGTGAATGTGGCCGTTAGTGGGCAAAGTTGGTAAATTGACCGTGTGTGAAATTACAAATTGGGTGCGTTTGTTTGGACGGACTGGATAAGGGGGATTGTAATCCATCGGACTATTAGTCCTGGGATACATTGTCCCAAGACTATTTGGTTGGACTAAATTTGTATCTTATGTTTGTTTAGTCATGTGATTAGATGTCTGAATTTGACTATTTTTAGTTATCTAATATTTGTTTGGGACATTATGGAGAAAGATAAATGCTCAAATGACTATTTTATCCTTTTCAATTATTTACTAAGTAATAGCAATATTAAACATAGCTTTAATATTTTAATTATCTTTAGCTAGATTAAATAAAAATTTATTTTATTTTATTTTTTGCACAATATTTTAATTTATTATTTTCAATTAAATTAAATTTATAATTTATATTTTTTATTTAATATATAATTTTAAATTAACGACAATAAAACATAATTTTATTTAATATATAAATTAAATTTTTTTAAAATTAAATTTAATCACACATCACCCACAAATGTTAAAAGATAAAATTTAGATCCAACAAAAAATATATATTATGCTTACAAAAAATAATAATTTAATAACATGCTGTATTGTACTAATAAATTTAATTTATAATTTATATTTTTTATTTAATATATAATTTTAAATTAACAACACTAAAAAAATAAATTTATTTAATATGTAAATTTAATTTTTTAACAACACTAAAAAAATTAAATTTATAATTTAAATTTTTTATTTAATTAGAATTTTAAATTAACAACGCTAAAAAAATAATTTATGAATGTTCAAAAGACTATTTTATCCTTTTCTAATTGTTTGCTAAGTAATAGCATGGAGGGTAAAATGGACATTTCACAAAATAATCCCATGGGATACCAATCTCATAGTTTCTATCTCACCTCCCGTATGGGATAGGATAGTCCCATATTTGTGGGACTAATAGTCCGGGGGGACTATTAGTCCGGAGCAAAAAAAAAACAAACAAACAATAGACTATTAGTCCGGTGAGACCAATAGTCCAATCACACTCCCTAATCCTTTAAAACAAACACACCCATTGGGACATCATTTTCCTATGATGTTGTGTGCATATTTCTAGGTTGGGCGGTGATAAAGTTGCAGAGGGGGAAAATTTGGGATTTCTATTTGACGAGGAGTAACATACAAAATTAAGTTACACACACTACGAATAACTTCACAATCAATTAACAGTAACTGTGCAATATTATGAGTGCCATTAATCAACACACATAAACACACAGAAAACGTTAAAATTAGGGGTGGGCAACGGTTTATCCGAACCGCTCAAACCGCCCAACCCGCCCAAACCGCATATAAATGGGCGGTTTCGCAAACATAATGCGGGCGGATGCGGTTTGAAATATGACAAATTTGCGGGTTGCGGGCGGGCCGCGGGTTAAAACCGCAACCCGCAAAAACCGCCCGCACTTTAATTAGTATTATTATTTTTTTTTTTTATATACTAACTTTGTAACTTTAACAGGAGCACCATTATGTTCTCTATGATACTAGGATCCTTATTTTTAAGTATTTCTCAACTTTCTTAATGTCGTAGAATTATCAAGTCCTAAATTTGGTTTCTTATATGATTTTCATTAATGACTCATCCACTTTTTCCTAATAAAATTTTTCTTCTGGTGATCGATGAAGCTTCTAGTTTGATTATTGATTACTGAATTGACAATTCTAATTGAGTACAACCTTTAATGCATTGATATACATTTTTTTCATGACAAAAATGTTAGTGATATTCAATTTTTATTTGTAAACTCATCAGAAAATTGTTATCAAATGATCACAAATATATAAAATGAATCTAATGCCTAAATTCGATGGGAAAAAAAAACTTAAAAATTAATTTTTAAAGAAAAAAGTGTAAACCGCAAACCGCCCGCACATTTACAAACCCTATCCGCACAAACCGCAAACCGCACTGCGGGCGGTTGCGGGTTGACTTTTTCCTAAACCGCATAGATGCGGGCGGGTCAAAACCGAACCGCAAACCGCACAAAACCGATCCGCGAACACCCTTAAAATAATAGGGAATAAAAAACCCACAGCCATTTCAACCCATATAAAACACCAATCTGAATGACAATGACATACCAATACACATCAACCAAAACCACAACATAACACAACACAACACACCGAGCATCACATGCAACAAATAATGCAAATGTAAAACATCCCCAACAACACGGCTCACCTGTTGCAGTCTCGACGGGTTCAGAGAACGATGCAAAATGACGGCCAGGAAAAAAATCAAACAAAACTGTAAGACAATGGAGCACAACACAAACAACCCACCGTTGCTCTCCCAAAGTCAACCCAAACCCTTACACACATTAACATTAGCAATTCCCCTCGCCAACACACCGAATCCCCAAGTTAGGAAAAACAAATCCCACAAAAGGGTATTACTGTAAACTTAAACATACTCAAAATTAGCGCTGTTCAAAAATTCGTTTAAACCGGTAATCCGGACCGAATTTTAAAATATATATATATATATATGTGTGTATAAAATATCAAGTTTTATTTTTATTAATTGGTTTTTTATAATTTTAATGATATCACGATGGTATAGATATGTAATATTAAGTAATGCCTTAATATTATTAATTTTTATCAAGAGTTAAATGTAATTAGTTTGAGTAATTATTTTTTTAATATAAACAATTTATTTTTGTAAATAAAAAATTTTAGAACCGTAAACCAAACCGAAACCGAACCGTTTTTTCGATTTGGTTCTGGTCCGGTTTTACAAGTGTAATGGTCTGGTCTGATTCTCAAAATCACAGAACCGCTAGGATCGGTTTGGTTCTTGGATTTTTTCAGAACCGAACCAATCCAGACCGTGTACACCCCTACTCAAAATCAACTCTGTAAACATTACCAAACAAAATGGACTAAATGGTGTATAAGAAAACTCTTAGGATTAAATAGTTCAACTTTTCATAATCTAGGATTTATGGGTAAATTTTTCTTAATTTTTTGTTCAAATAGTTTTTTTTTTCAATTATTTTTTTATAATTATTTTTTTTTCAATTATAATGTGTATGATCCTATTGTCATAAATAATAAAAAAATAAATATAAATATTTTAAATGTGAACAAATATATTTTTAAATTTTTTCAAATATTTTGTTCAAACCAAATGCATTTATAATTTATAATTTTTTAAAAATAAACAAAAATCAATTTATAAATTTTTTTATAAACATAAATAAAAAAAGTAAATGTTACCAAAGGCTATTATTTTACAGTCATTATTTTCCTTTCTTTTCTCTCATTTTCTTCGAAAGCCGAACGAAACGTAAAATCGGCCACTGATCTCAGCCATTTCTGCTTCGCTGTTTATTTACCTCTCGAGTTTTCAAACATATTTCATGGCTTCTATATGTAAGTCATTTTGTAGTTGAAAATTCAAATAATGTGTATTGGTGATAATTACAAATAAAACATCAGAAAATACAAATTACAATAATTGTTGAAAAGACTGAGGCACGAAAAATTCGCCCTCTTTAAGGAGATTCAAGCCCGGTTAGGCAAAGCCTCACACTGGTGCAGTAGAAAAAACTTTGACTTGTCTTCCAGGATACAACAGCCCGACTAAGTCGTATGGTTGGTTAAACTCAAAGTTTCGTCACATACACTCTTTATTTCTTTACTTGATAATCTCACACAAACATAATAAAACAATAAAAATTTCTTCTATATTCCAAGGTAAAATGTTAGCTCAATTTATAAGAGATGAAAGCTTGGTAGACAAGTTTCTTGGAGAATTCTTGAAAGTTGCTTGGAGAATAAGTATAGGAGAGGAAACTTGGTGAGAAAGTTCATTAGAGGAGACTTGGAGGCAAAGAAAAAGACTTGACTTAGGCAAAGACTTGGAAAGAGAAAAAAAAACTTGGAGGGAAAGGGGAAAAAAAAAAAATCAAACCTATAATACATTATAATGGTAAAATATCTTCTAACAATGTGTTTATATATGTTTGTGTATATGCATATCTAGAGAGAGATATGATAAATTTTGTCAATAATTGTTTTTATTTTGATTGAGCATTGTTTTGATTAACAACATAGACTATAGTTGATGTTTGAATTGTATTGAACAGAACTGGAGTGATTAGCAAAAAGTTTTGTGGGATTAATTTCTCTAGATTCATGATTAAGAAGTCCATGAGGCGTTGCAATTGTATTGAATTAACAATTGAATTGTACTGATTGTTTAACTTGTTTAAGAAATTATGTTTGATTTCTGGGAAATTGAATTGTACTGATTGTTTAACTTGTTTAAGAAATTATGTTTGATTTCTGGGAAATTTTCAAAAAAACAAACAAACAAACAGTAACATCATCATTTTCATTGCAATTATATTGAATTATGCTGGTTAACTTGTTTAAGAAATTATGTTTGATTTTGTTTTCAGTTTCAAAAAAACAAACAAACAAACAGTAACATCGTCATTTTCATTGCAATTATATTGAATTATACTGGTTAACTTGTTTAAGAAATTATGTTTGATTTCTGGGAAATTTTCAAAAAAACAAACAAACAAACAGTAACATCATCATTTTCATTGCAATTATATTGAATTATGCTGGTTAACTTGTTTAAGAAATTATGTTTGATTTCTGGGAAATTTTCAAAAAAACAAACAAACAAACAGTAACATCGTCATTTTCATTGCAATTATATTGAATTATACTGGTTAACTTGTTTAAGAAATTATGTTTGATTTTGTTTTCAGAACCTGTTTCCTGGCCATTTTTCAAAAAAAAAAAACAAAAAAATAATTAGTGAGGAAAAAAAAAAATCAGAAATCTCATCTTTTTCATTGCAATAATATTGAATTGTACTGGTTGTTTACCTTGTTTAAGAATTATGTTTGGTTTCGTTTTCAGAACCAGTTTTAAGAAATTATGTTTGTTTTTTATTTTAGAATCAGTTTTCTGGAAAATTTTCAAAAAAAACTAAAATCTAATTTGGTGAAAAAAATGAACAAATAAAAAAACTCATCATTCTTGTGATTTTATCTTTTTTGTGAGAGGAAATATTTTTTTAAAATTTGAAAATATGGTTTTGGTGGTTATTTTTTGCCAAAACTAATTTTCATTTTTTTCAAAAAGAATTATGAGAGCAAATTCTGAAAATCAAACCAAACAAAAGTGTTCTTGATCATTATTGCCAAGATTAATGTATTTGTTACCTTGTTGCAGTGTGTCTGTTGAGAAATTTCCTAAAAACCGAATGCTCGGTGAGCGCGAGATTGTTAATGGGAAGGTGCATTGTCCTATAATCCTCTGCTATTGTTTCACTCATGTTTCTCGTCTTTTTGTGTTGTATATATACATATGCTTATGCTTATGTGAATGTAATTTTAGTTTTCCAATTCTCTACAGGCTGGTAAATATGTGTGGTTAACTTATGAAGAAGTATATGAAATAGTATTGAAGGTTGGAGCTTCCATCCGTAGTTGTGGTATCAAGAAAGTAAGTTTATTTTGCTGTGTCGCAATTCAGAAGTTAAATTAGCTAGTGCAAGCAATTATAGATGTTAGCTAGTGCAAGTAATTGAGGCTAAATTTGAGCTTCGCCATACCATGGCGCAATTTCATTCCAACTAATTCTTCATTTGGTTTAAATTGATATTTTGCTTCAAAGTTTCATGCTAACTCTACCGTCTAATTACTTATAAAGGGTGCGAGATGTGGAATCTACGGTGCCAACTGCATGAAATGGATCATAAGTATGCAGGTAAAGTACCAATACACCTACCAAAGAGTTGGTTTTTGTTCAAAATACAGTGTTGTGACCTATTACATTTTTCTTCTTCTGTCTCCCTCTTTATCTGTGTGTAAGTGCTAGGTTATGTATTTCTGTAACAGTAGAGTTCTGGATGAGTGAAATTAGAAAATGATTCTTTTGAGTTTTGAGCTCTAAATTCAAGTAGCCCATTCATCACGATATGTATATAAAAGCATATTTTGTGATATCTTTCATAGTGTAAGGAAAATTTTATCATTTAGATATGAATGAAGTTTGATACTCAGCTGATATATTAATTTGGCATTTTAGCAGTCTAATAGTTTTTTACATTTCTACAGGCCTTCAATGCCCATGGACTATACTGTGTTCCCTTATATGACAGTCTAGGTACGCTGTTTCCATGCTTCGTGTGTGAATTTGAATTTGAATAATAAGGGATTAACTGGTCATTATAGAATGAATGTGTTTTACACATCATGTGGCCTTAATATGGGTGTACATGTCATGTGGGCTTATAAATGGTGTTAGTGATCTTATTTTTATCTAATCATGGTTATTTTGATACTTGTCCAACATGGAAAAACTTAAACAAAGGCCAAAAGGATTGTGTTTTGCTGCATAGACATGGTGTATAATTTTTATTCTAAAAACATAATTATCTCTGCTGAAACGGTAATTTGTCCATTGATAAAGATCAGAGATGGCATTGAAATGGGTTCAGTTACATGTTGGGTCATTCTGTTATTTTGCTACGTTTCTAGGTGCTGGTGCAGTGGAATATATCATTTGTCATGCTGAGATTTCACTTACCTTTGTAGAAGAAACTAAAATTCCTGAGGTAAGTAAACATTTTCGTTATACTCAAAAGTGATGGTCCAGAAAGTTTTGGCATTTGTACCTTCTTTGCTTATTGTTCTTTTGTTGACTTGATGAAAATCATTTTCTGGCTTCAAATTTGATTTTAAGAACTTCCTAGGTATAATTGTTTCTTTCTTTTTATTTCGTTTCCAGGTCTTAAAAACATTTCCAAACACCATAAAGCATTTGAAAAGTAAGTTGCTTTTGCTGTTTCTCTTCTTAATACAAGGAGTAGTAAATTACCAAATTTTATTAAAATTTGTGTTATGTTGTGTAGCTCTTGTGAGCTTTGGAAAGGTTACAGATGAACAAAAGAAGGTAGCTGAAAATTTTGGTCTGGCATTATATTCTTGGGATCAGTTTTTGCAGCTGGTAGGCTACTTGCTTTAAACTATCCATCTTTAAGTTAGTTGTTTGTTTGAGTAGAAAATTTCCTCCATGCGTTACAGATTATTTTTCTTCTATTTCCTTCGTTGTGATTGGGAGGGCGTAGCACAATGTTTGAGCAAAAATGTGAATTAAGATTAGCTTTTTTCTAGAATATTTTAGTTATGGACCTTACAGTTCTATTATCTCTGCTGCTGAGTTATATAAACCAAATCAGCTTGCAAAAAACTGCACGAAACAGCGCTATTAGCTTCATCGTTGCTTTATTATAAACCTATCAAATTTCTACATTTCTTTCCTGCATCATTATTGTTGATGTTTATGAAATGAATGGCATTTCTTTGGTGGATTTACTATTGTAGATTCATTCTAATTCTATTTTACACTTCACGTGCACCAACAGGGAAAGAATGAGCACTTTGATCTCCCGATAAAGAAGAAAACAGATATTTGTACAATAATGTATACTAGTGGCACAACTGGTGATCCAAAGGGAGTAGTGATATCCAACAAAAGCATTCTTTCGATTATATCTGCAGTAAATCACTCACTAGAGAGCATGGATCAAGGGGTAAGATAATTTCAAGTTATGTAATATTAGCCCTTGGCGATAATCTTGGCTATCTAAGCGATATGATTGATTGATTTTTCAATGCTTTTGTTTTGCAGTACTCTGAGGAGGATGTATTTTTGTCATATCTTCCTCTAGCACATATTTTCGATCGAGTCATAGAGGAACTGTTCATTTCTATTGGATCCTCAATAGGGTTTTGGCGTGGGGTATGACAATGACAACATGTTATTCTTGTTATTTGTGAATGGCTAAATATAATAACATTTTTCTCCAATTGTATGTTCAGGATGTGAAACTATTGATTGAAGACATCAGAGAACTAAAACCAACTGTTTTATGTGCTGTTCCGCGAGTCTTAGATAGGATATATTCAGGTAAGCACTACAAATATGCGGCTTAGGCATTGTCCTTGTGTAGAGTTTGAAAGCTATCTTGCTGAACCATCCTCTTTGCACTATTCCATGAGATACCAGTAAATCATTCTCTGACTGTAAAGGAAATTCATTAAATTGTCAAAATTATTTAGTTTGTCAATTTTTGGTCAAAAAGTTCTTTACGAGACCATTCCAATCAGTGTGTTTTGTTAAAATTTTCTGAATTCAATTTTTTGAAAATTGAATTTTTTGTCTTTTGTGTTTTTTTATTTTTATTTTTAGTGAATATTTTTAAAATTTTAAGCATTTTTTTCTTTTTTAGATGCACTTTACTTAGATGTATCCAAATAGTAAAATATTTGTAAAAAAATATTTTAAAAATTAATAAATATACAAAAATACGAAAAATGTATTGAATTTTTTTTTTGTATTTTTGGTATATAGTGAATTTTTTAAAGATTTTTTTCACAAATATTATACTTTTTGAGTGCTTTTATGTTAGGTGTGTTTGAAAATTAAAAAAAAATTACTTAAAATATTAAAAAAAATTCAATGAAAACAAAAAAAAAATACGGAAAACAAGAAAGTAGAATTTTTTGAAAAGTGAATTATAAAAATGAAAGCCAAACAGAGTGATTTGTTTTCTTGACTGGTGGGTATTGCCACGTTCATTTTCTCAATCCATGACAATTTTTTCCAATTGACTGTGACTGTAAGCCAAAATTTCTTTTCAGCATTTGGATCGATGCATAAATGGATAACTACTTAAAACTCTTTTAAAACTTATAACCAAACAAATTTTTTCTTTTTAAAACTCATAACTTGAAACACAACTTCATACTTCTGTTCAAAAAAAAAAAGAAACACAACTTCATACTCAAATCATGATTATAAAACTAAACCAAACGGAGCCTTACATTTCAGGTTTGATAGAGAAGACTTCTTCCGCGGGTTTTGTCAAAAATGCATTGTTCAACGTTGCATACTCATAGTAAGTGCTATTTTCTTTAGCCTTAGTGGCTCAATTTACCTTACCAAGTTCCTTTTGAGGCATCCAACTAGGTAAATGTATCAAAGTCGGCACAAGTCCTAGCCGGGCTTTTTGAAATCTTGATGTCTGTATGATTATGAAACTTACTATAGCCTTTTCATTTTCTGTTTCTCGATCCTATATTTTGACAATCTGCAGCAAACTGCGTAACATGAATAAAGGCTACAAACATTTCGAGGCTGCTCCACTTTTTGATAAAATTGTTTTTAGCAAGGTAGTGGAAGTGATTCAATACTGCAACTACTCTACACTTTTGGTTTCCCTTTGGACTTTCGCCTCGGCTGAAAACCTATTTCTCTTCAATTTGGTTAATTATGGATCCAGGTGAAGGAAGGTCTAGGTGGAAAAATTCGTCTCATTCTATCTGGAGCAGCACCTCTTGCTACCCACGTGGAAACCTTTCTACGAGTGGTGACTTGTGCTCATGTTTTACAAGGATATGGTAATCTCTGTCATTGAACAATTTCAATATCTTTTGTATAGATGACTGATCTTGTTAATTGTTTGTCCTCTAGGTTTAACTGAAACCTGTGCGGGGTCCTTCGCTGCACGGCCAGATGAACTAGCAATGATTGGTACAGTTGGTCCTCCATTGCCAAGTTTGGATGTGTGCCTAGAATCTGTTCCTGAAATGGGATACGATGCCCTATCAAGCACACCTCGTGGTGAAATATGTATACGTGGTAATGTTCTGTTCTCTGGATACTACAAACGCGAGGACCTCACTAAAGAGGTGATGATTGATGGATGGTTCCACACAGGTTTGTCTGCATCACAGTTTATATTATATTGTTGTATAAATCTTATCCACTATTTTTGCAAATTGGTTCCTTTATAACGTTGCTCGTTAACATATTCTGTAGGCGATATTGGTGAATGGCAACCGGATGGAAGCATGAAAATTATTGATCGCAAGAAAAACATTTTCAAGCTTTCACAAGGAGAGTATGTATCAGTTGAGAATCTGGAGGGTATTTATTCTCTTGTTTCTGGTATTGACTCGGTATGTCTCCTCACTCGTGGATAAGTACATATAAACTCATCTTAGCCTTTAGTTATTATGGTTCATGGGATTGATTAAAATCCTTCTTCTTCTTCTTCTTCTTCTTCTTCTTCTTCTTTTTTTCTTTTCTTCGCCCTTTTTTAATTTTAAAATCTTGATCACGTTTCAAAAAAATAGAAAATGAAGCAATGGCCCTACTTTTTAAGGGCAGTTATCAGTCCAAGCATTCACTATTCTGCATGATATCCATATCAGTTATTCAAGCAAAATGGTTAAAGTTGTAAAATGGTAAATTAAGTGATTTAGAATTTGCCATATCATCAAAAACTTTATTTTCCTATTTTCTCTTCGTAGCATTTATCGGTCCTGTTTTCTTTTAGGAGTAACATCTGTCGCAAAAATATAATAAATCCAGCGTGGTTCTGATTCTTATTTCTTTCCTCTAAATTTTTTTCGTTTTGTTTTAATTTCGTAGTGAATTCTTCTGCTTATGCATCTTTCAGATATGGGTCTATGGGAACAGTTTCGAGTCCTTTCTTGTCGCTGTTGTGAACCCCAACCAGCAATTTTTGGAATGTTGGGCTGAAGAGAACGCAGTGGCTGGCGATTTTGATACTCTGTGTGAGAATTCTAAGGCAAAAGCATACATTCTCCAAGAACTTACTAAGATTGGAAAAGAAAAGAAGGTTCTAATCTCTCTCCCTCTTAAAATATGATCGGTATGTTAGAGATATCAATCTTAACTAATCGTGTTCTCCATGCAGTTAAAAGGTTTCGAGTTTATTAAAGCTGTCCACCTCGACCCAGTGCCATTCGACATGGAGCGTGATCTTCTCACTCCGACTTACAAGAAGAAGAGGGCTCAGTTTCTCAAATACTATCAGGTTAGCTCCTTTGTTCTTCTCCACTTAAATCTTCCATTCCTATGCCTTGTATAGTTGAATGGAGCCCTATTTACGAATCATGATGAACCCATGATTAACTCCCAAAAGTGAAGTTCCATTAAGGCTCCGTTTGCTTCAATATAAAATATTTTTGAGAAAAATGTTTTACTCATTTTCCATGGTTTGGTTGAACATAAAATAAGTGAAATATTTTTTAACAAAAATAACTTTCCTCTTAAATTTCTGCAAGTCATATTTGTGTATCTTGCTCCAACTCTCAAACAGTTTATAAAAAGTTTTATCTTTTTTGGGGTGTGCTATATAAGCACATTTTTTATTTTTTTTTTTGGTTACATTACTTTTTTTATTTTTCTACACATCTTTTTATAAAAATTTTTATTTAGATCATTCCAAACAATTCCTAGTGAGCAAATCCAGTCGGTTTTGCAGCTGTGGATAATTATTGCTTCATCTCAAGTATCAATTCAACATCTAGAGAAATTGCATGTAGAGAAAGTACAACTTAAGTATTAAGAAAATATTCTACAAACATCAGCCAAACACCAAAAAATAGAAAGAAAATTTAGATTTTACATGTGAAATATTTTGTGTAAAATATTTAACCTCAAAACAAAAAGAACCTAATTCAGAATCTATTTTGCTGACTAATACCTTACACTTGAATGGCCAAAGGTTGTGGCAACTTAGCAAGTGGAAGAGAGACAGGGATCGAGAGGCTTTTTTTTTTAAGTTTAACACTTAAATTTTAAAGTTCAAAAAATTCAACATTCTTCAGTACTACAATTTTAGTTTGCAGTTTCATGCCAATAGAATATGTTGATATTTAGCTCTCTCTCTCTCTCTCTCTCCCTCATATGTATGTGTTGGAATGGACACTGACTGAACACTGTATTATATATTGCAGAATGTCATTGATGGTATGTATAAAAGCGCAAAATAAACAATCTGATGATGATGATGATGATTATGATGATGCGCAAGCCTTCATGTTGATCAAGAAATGTCTGCTAAAAATACCAAATGCGGTTAAATTCTTTATTTGTATTAGCAAATTCAAATACCTTCTTTGTTCAAAAAAAATTCAAGTACGCCTTCCACTCCTTTGCACTTCGGAATTCAATGTTATTATGTTGAGTCTCAATGCTAGTTCGGAAATTGCTTTCTTGACTAATTTTGTTTTCAGCAAATTTTCTATTAATTTTCTGACCCCAAAAAAAAATAAATAAATAAAAAAAATTCCACTTTTGATTAAATAAAATAAAATAATTATCAAAAATTCAAAAAAAGAGGGTAAATTACCCCTTAAGCGCTTTTTTATATAATAATAAAATTATCTAAATTATTAATTAAAATATATTTTGATATTGTTAAAAATTATTAATTAACTTGATAATTTATTGATAAAATGAGCCATTTGTTATGAAATTAAAATTTTCAAGAGGCAAAATGCTATTTTTAAAATTGCAATGCTTTGCTCGACTACAGAATCGCTACCTAAATAATTTATTTTTGGAAAATTTAAGAAACCCTGACTCGTGCCAAAGGCCACGTATCTGTCATCACCAAAGTTACCTCGGCTCGGGAATTTGGGTATGAAAGGGAAAGGTCCTGAAATGAGCACCCCGGCTCGCCCGATCAATGATCGGCCTCTACTAAACATAATATGTTGTTTTATAAACACACGTGTTCTTATTCTAATTATTAGCTAACTTTATTACGTGACGCACACAAGTATAAACTAAACTCGCGAGAATTGGAACAACCCAATTCATGTTTATTTTCGAAAATGATTTGAAAATGCTACTTGCAAGTAGGCTAAAGCGTAAATTTGCCACCCTCAAATGAGCTTAAAACATGATGATTTGCTACTTCGAAAAGTAGACTTAAAACTCACATTTATCGAGTTGTTTTAATTCAAGCAAAACAAATTTCAAGAGGTGTATTTGTAATTTATTCAAAAAAATAATTCACCCCCTTTAATTTTCTGACCCAAAAAAAAATCCTCTTTAGATTAAATAAAATAAAATAACTATAAAAAATTCAAAAAAAATAAAAAAAGGTAAATTACCCCTTGAGGTATAGTTAAAATACAAATTATTCCTTATGATTTGAAAAATTACAAACACCTCATTGTAAGAATTTTTTTATTTAACAAAATTAATTAGAAAAATAAAATTACTAATTGTTCTCTTATATAATAATAAAATTATCCAAATTATTAATTAAAACATAATTTGATATTATTAAAAATTATTAATTAACTTGATAATTTATTAATAAAATGAGTCATTTGTTATAAAATTAAGAACTTCATGAGGCAAAATGTAATTTCTAAAATTACAAAAAACAATTCGTATTTTAAACAAATTTCAAAAAATATATTTGTAATTTATCTTAAAAAAAATTCACCCCTTTGTCCATGTAGAAAATATTTTCCCAAGAAACAAAATACGAAAGTTTAACAAAAAAACAAAATACATGTTTGACGAAAACAGGCATAATAAGACTGTCGAGCTTTAAACAAATTTTAAGAGGTGCATTTGTAATTTATCCAAAAAAATAATTCATCCCTTTGTGTAGAAAATATTTTCCCAAAAAACAAAATACGAAAGTTTAACAAAAAGACAAAATACATGTTTGACAGAAAACAAGCATAATAAGACTGTTGAGCTTTCGAAATAATAATGTGCTTTCGAAATAATAATGTTCAATATCCTACCATATATTAGTATCATGAGAATTTTTTTAACTAAAATTATATGAAATGCTTCATACCAGAAAGAAAATATAGATCCAATTCAAAGCAATTAATAACTATCCGAATGTCCAGCTAACATACCTAATTGTTACAGTTTCTTCACTTTTTATTGTGCACCGACAAACTTATTCTATCCTAAATAAGTTAAAGAAATGAATAATAATCCTCACCTTAACCTAGGACTTCTCTTCATCGGATAGAGAGCATGGTGGCCCAGGGACCGAGTCGACAAAGAATTCCTCTACTGAAACAAAGACGAGCTGAGTGTAAGACAAATCATAAAATGGAAAGAGCAAGAGGTATTTGAACTGTAGTCGCATTGTTCTAGAATTTTTAGATTTTTTTTGTGATCAAACTTTCCCCAATTCTGAAATAGTAGGTTGTATGTCGTCGGGTATAGCTAGTAAATCCCCTCGAAGCTACCAGCTAAGCACGGAAACGGACACACAGACGCTCAAATTGCCAAAAATATAAGACATTACACGCAGAAGACACGTGCAAAACATATAATTCTACATATTCATATTCATTTATTTAATCTCATCAAATTCATCAACCTTGAGTATGACACTTCATATCCCTAATGTGTCCATTGCGTTTCCGACTAGAAAAAAAATTATGGGACACTTACTCTAGGGGTGTCCAGAGATTGTCCGACTCCGAAACATGTTGGATACCAATACGTGACTTCAAGAGAGGTGATTTTCTCTATTGAACTTTTACTAATTCAATAGAAAGATTGTACTCTTTCATTGTTCTTCAGTATGGTATATAATTTTCTGACCATCTCTTTTAAATAGAAGAGCTATGCATCTTCACAAATGGAAAATTAGCATGCATTCCAATAAATTAATCATTTTCGGTCAAATGCTGAGAAAACTAGAAGAAGTCATGATTCAGCATACCTATATCCTCTTGCTCTGGAGAATCAAGTAAAATATCTGAATCAGAAGGCAAAAATGGGGAACCAGGATAATTTCCCAAGGCTCCTAGATCTGCAACCAATTTCAAAGGAAGAGATATATAATTAACCAAAACACACAAGAATTTTAAAAACAAAAACAAAAAAACAGAATCAAAATAAACAAGACAAAAAATATATTCAATGGCAGCCAAAAAACCTATCTTTTCATTTTCCGATCTAATCTTAGATGTGTATCCGTGCATATAGAAGATTGGCTGCTTAAATCCACCACCAAACACAAAATGTTTAAAAGAATCATGAACATAATAAAACAACCACTTTGTCATTCAGAGGGCCAAGACATGTTTACCAAGAAATGGTTGTTGAATTACTATATATACATATAAGCAATGTATTGAACAATTTCTGAATGGGTCACATAAGTGACGGGGCTGTCATTAAGAAGCATATAATGCCAAAATATTTATAATCCCAATACACTTTTTACATATCCCAAAACACTCGTATATTCTTATACGGTTTTTACACATTTCAATACACTACTTACATATTTTCCAACATTAACAACAGCCCTATGGGCTGTCTTCAGCATTTTCCTTTCCGAATAAGTAATGCGTCTAACAAGAAAGAAACGGGTGTAGGTGCACATTGTATGTTTTTAAGATGTGAATCCTGCTGACAAAATGTCCAATTAACTACAATTGTACACTGACAAGCATTAAAATATTTGCTTATAGTCATAGTTAATTTTCAGGAGTCTTTGCAGGTTTGCTAGGCTGGTAAGAATACAGTGTCACAGAAACTGAACAGATCTACTCATTTATGTTTAACAACCGAGTATAGAGGTGCAACTTCAATCCCAAACAACATTACAACTTGTTATACATGTATATAACAGTTGAAATGGTCCAAAAGTACCTCCCAAGTTTGACAAGTCTGCTGTCAGGTCTGAAAGGCTAAAATTCCAAGGTATCTGAGCCAATGATCGAAGGGAATCTCTGGAATTCCCCACCCCATTATCTGGTGGAAGCTGCAATCCTACTGAATTTGCCACATCAGAAGTAAATGCTGTGTCAAGTGCTGATGTATCTACTCCCATACCCGATATATCCGATGCGGTGAAGGGGAAATGGCCAGTAGATGCCACTGAAGTAGGACTCACAGGCATATCAGACATAGATGACATGGCACTGCTTGGTGGAATGGCAGCAGGTGTACTGTTGTCCATCACCATACTTCAGCAAAGGCAAAAGCAACAGCCATTAGCAGAATTTCTAGTACGCTACATTGCGGGAAAATAGAAGGAATACTGAAATTATATTACATTAAAATTTAAAAATTAATATTTCATTAAAGATAATAACACAAGCTAATGCCATGCTGTGCAATGCCAGGGTAATAATACTTCCCACTACTAATGAGATCTCATGAAATTCAAAAAAATTCTCACAAGAAGAAGGTATGTTAACAAGAGCATGGACTTCAAAATACATTAATTGATGGAAGAAGGTAGCCAGAGATATTTTCTCCATCCGAATGTAAAGGAGCATCAATGTATTTCAGGAAACCACTCGGCTGAATTTATTACTGGCTCAAAAAGGCATGACGCTCATTTTGACTATTTTTGGGGTCTACGATTGTCATCATGGACACATTATCTAAACATGACAACTATATCATAGGCATTTATCATACACAGAATCGAGTGGATAAGATCAGCCAGAGGGAGAGAGGAAGTAAATGGAACAGTTATGGTTTGCCAATTAATGAATGGAAAATCATAAAGAAAAATGAGATGAAGATAGGGGAGAGTTCTCACTCGTTCCCAGAATTCATCCGGATGGGATGGAAATTGCCTGGTGCAGGCACTCCATTAACCACATGACAGCTAGATATTCCACATGCCATTGAATCGAGATGAGGTTGACCAGTAGCTGAAACTGGTGGTTGCTGTAGGACAGGGTATCCCATAGGCAAGTTGTTAACTGCACTGCAAATGTGTGATATTAAATAATAATGATCATAAATGATATATGTATGCCATCCTAACCACAGTTCTACCCTTCTATGAACCTAACCTTATTCTGGTATAACCCTAAAATCTTCGTTTTTGTCACGTGGATTGATGGACTCTTCATTACGTGCAGAGCACCCACATCAATCTCGGCATGGATATGAGACACTTCCGCATCTATTACAAAACACTTCCCCGACAGCACAAGCCAAGAAAGGAACAAAGGAACACTTTCCTAGTTCAAAATTTAAATTTGTTCTTCTACTCATTTTGGGTAAATGAGTAGAACTTCATTTTACCTTCAGAAAGTGATGAAAATACTTAATCGATGGACACTTTGGCCATGGCTCTAGTTCTCAGATATTGGGATTAAATGAATCTAATAACTGGAGTTCTTGACACACAGCCGCACCCGATACACATTCCTGGGCCATGAAAAAGTGAGAATTTACCTGGCATGGGATGAATACCATTCTGTATTGGAGCCAAAGGAACCTTTGGAGGTATAGGGTACTTCATTAGATGATACTGATGCTCAAGCAAATGATTGAACAATATAATTTGTTTCTTCAATTTTAGCCTTATGTAATATGCCCTGAAAAAGTCAGCATTTTCTTCTTCTAACTTCTGCCATACTGAATTAACAAAGAAAATGATCAGTTGAAGAAAAAAAGTTACTCAATAAAAGCTACAATTAAATGATTGCAAGAGCATTAATACATTAATAAATAAACTGGCAAAAAAAATTCAAAAGATCTTTTATCTTTCAAAGCAAAACTCATAAACTTTAAAAAACCTCTACTCTTTTATTTTATTTTTTAGGTGGATAAAATCTGTTTTTACTTAAATAGGTTATATTGGATCATGTTGGATAGATTAGATGGAAAAATCTATGGTGCATCAGAAATTGATGAGCAACCCAAGTATCATTCGAACTACAAATGATTTTTTTCAAAAGATGCTTACCCAAATTTGAAAATCCAGGATCTATTCTTGCACGATTCAAGAGGGTTTTTACCACCTCATCTCTATTCATATACAACTGTAAGCACCGTTCTATCAAATTCTGGACCTGTAACAAATCATTTAAGTTTGCAAAAAAAAAAAAATTTATATGACAGAAAAATCTCTAAAAAGAAGACACACCTACAAAATAGAAAGAACAGACTGTCTTACAAGTTCAATATCCTCACGAGAAACTTTCTTATTATCATTGCTTGAAGTGGAAATCGAACCCGAGTCAGCTAAAGGAGCCTCTGTTCCATTGTTCTGTTGGTCTCCTTGGGACTCATGTGAAACTTGGGTTGAGGATTGTATTTCAGGTGTATTCTGTGAAACCTGTGAAATATCTTCAATTTGATTACAAAAAAGAACTACAATAAAACAAATTGCATTTTCTGGATTGTGTTGATACTATGGGGAGGTGTCTTGTTTACAGGTCTTTTGGGTCTCCTGTGGACCGCAGTTCAGTTTTTTGCTTGATGCAATTGAGTATCCCCTTTTGATGTTGTACTAGTCATTAAAAAAATAATAATAATTGCATTTAGAATAAATACATAAATAGGACAAAAATAGCAGTTCTAGGAAGTTAGACAGAAAACTGCACCATGATGGGGTTTAAAATACGGGCGCCCAAGTCAATCAAATTTGTTTTCAATAAAATTTTCTAGAAGCATAATATCTATACATATGGATTATATAAGATTGGATGAAATAAGAAATTATAAAGCAATGGAGAGAGAGCCCACTAACAGATTTGCATAAAATATTATATGATCATTGTTAAAGTCTTAACATCAAAACCTGGACGTCCTTCATTTCAGATGAATGCAAGCTGATTGCATCTCTTCATCAATCTCTCATATCTTGCTGCTACAGCTACGGTCATCAAATTCACCAAGGTTAAAATGCTTGTTTCTAATCTTATCACACTTAATAAGCTGGAGTATTTCTACCTGGAAAAAGAATATCACCACTATAAAATTCAACCGTGTAGCTACATGAACTACTCTAAGAGAGAAACAAGACTCAATGCCAGAGTACAATACACTTGTATTAAAAATTTACAGGAGTACGAAAACATTCTGCGTTTTCTGCCTTAGAAAAAGCTTAATTGATTTTTGCCCGATGAAAAAGGAAATCAAGACTATGAATACAAAAATCTCTGATGCTTTCATCTGTTCATCAATTCTATATATAAAATGGAAAAGAGTCACACATACACACACCTCAGAAGCCATTTATGATTGCAAAACCATAACCACATCCACATGCTTAGGGGTATAACACTAGGCTAAAGTCAGGATGTTAAATTCATAGATACTTCAAAGGTGGGTGAAGAAATAGATGACAAATGGAGCAGAATCTATCAATTTTTCCTTGTGTTAATAATTTGCAGAATCTGAAGATATATCTCAAAATGTCATTGGATGTACAACACCTAATAATTCTATATTTGCAAGTAGTTCCTTTACTCATAAAAAATAAAACAACATTCCGAAAACTGACGAACAGGTAGAATATTTACTTCCACCAATGTTAGCAACAAGCAGTTAGACAAAGATCACAACAAGACAACAAGAATAATAATACAAACCATAAGAACTCCTAAACTTTATAGTGCCTTAATCATAAAACTGAAAAACTCGAATGCTGCTGAACACCAAACTTGGAAGCCTATCGCCAAATTGCCAGTTACCAGACTAATTTCTGTGCATAATTCACATTACAAATCTATACACTTTGTAGTGTTTGGTTCCTTATAATGATTTCGAGCAGGAAATGGAATGACTATTGCTTGGCCATTTACAACTGCTTGGCCATTTACAACGGAATCATCATTCTCTTAAATTGGTAAATTGTGATTCCATGGAGATTACTAGAAGAATATACATTTATTTCCCTCTTACTAAACCAAACATAGGAATGAATGAGTATTCTGATCCAATGACAATTCTATTCCGGCCTTCAATCTAGTGAACCAAACACTGCCTAAAACTTCATAAAATGTTCAACATGTTCAATTTCATTCTAGGAACAAACAATGGCTTATTGACTGACAAATCAAGCAATAAAATGAACAATCAATCAACTGAAACTCAATCCATACACGGACACACAGCTCTTTCATTCTTCAAATCTACTTATTCAATAGGCCAACACTCCCTCTCTCTCTCTCTCTCTCTCTCTCTCTCTCTCTATATATATATATATATTTATATTCATATGCAAAACGAGATCTAGCGATTATATACCTTACACAGAGCTTTGTGAAACTCCAAAATGGCGAAAACTCGCTTTGTATCGACGAATTTCGAAACCCTAACTCTCAAGAGCTTCAGATTCAGCGAAAAAATAAATCTCTTCGGAGAAGAGCTTCACGAAATTACAGATGAAGAAAAAGCGAAGATTCAAGAAGTACAAACAGTGATTATCAGTTTAAGTAATGGTTTAGTGGTTTATGCGCCATGTGTAGAAGCTTTTGGTTCATTGAAGAGTTTGAGAGAGTCTGCGAGAATTGAAATGGTGTTTTGGTTGAACATGGAGATGAAAAATGCAGAGAGATTTTGGAAAATTTGTTGAGTTCGATGAAATGGTTTAGGACTTTGACAGAGTGAGAGTGATGAGAGAAATCAATTGGGAGACGAAGGTGAAGGGACACTGAAGCCTCGTTTGGGACTAAGTATTTTAATAAAAAAATAAAAAAACTACTATAAATTTTCGTTTTTATTTTTTTATTTTTTTTAAATATTTTATTATAAAAACATTAAAAAATTATTAAAAAAACATTTTTTTAAACGACACCTGTAATTGTTTTGTCAAAAATTATCAAATATTCATTCATAAATTCTTATAATTTTAAAATTTTCTCTTTCTTACGTGATAATTCTCTTTGATTATTTTTCATGTTTTATATTTTCTTTTATTTTCTATTTATTTGATTAATTAAAATGAAAATTAATTTCATGGCTTGTGGATAAATATATTTGTTTGATTAATTAAAATTAATTTCATTGCTTACGGATAAAGATTTGAATTTGAAAATTCCTCCATATAGATAAACATATAAAAATTGAAAATTAATTTTATAGTCTACATATAAAGATAAAAGTTAATTTCATAACTTGTGGATAATTTAAAATTTCTTTCCATAAATAAACATATAAAAATTGATAAATAATTTATAAAAATTAGTTTCATAACCTACTGAGAAAGATAAAGGTTAAAAAATTAATTTAAAAAAATGAAATTACTCTTGTTTTTTACACTTCATTTTGTACTTTAATTAATTTCATTATAGATAAACATATAAAAAATCATAAATAATTTATAAAAATTTATTTCATGACCTATAGATAAAGATAAAAATTTTAAAAATTATTTTAAAAAAACTAATTTCATGACTTATAGATATGTATTGATAAATAATTTATAAAAATTAATTTCGTGGTCTATAGATAAAGATAAAGATTAACTAATTTATTTACAAAAATTTAAAATAATAAATTTAGATAAAGATAAGATTTGTTAATCTGTATCTATCGAAAACATATCTATCTAAATCTTTATTTTTATTTACTCATATTTTTTTCTCCTTCTATCACATATTATCTTTATTTATTTTGAATTTTTATCTTGTGAAATGCCTTTATCTGTAACTTCTTATATCCTCTTAAATTTTTAACCTTCTCCTCATAATTTTTATTATTTGTTATTATCTACCAAGTGATAAAGAGATATATATATATATATAAATTGGTTGGCTCTAGATAAGAAGAGTATTAATAATGAAATAATAAAAACTGCATGTGAGGAGGTAGCACAAAAATCTGATAAAATTAATTTTCGTCCTTGCATTCATCCAAGGTAACAATTTGATATTCTTTGTTTCAGTTGTTAAAAATAGTTTATATTAGATCATTTCTATTTGTTTTTTCTTTTTTATTTTTTATAAGACTGTCATTTGTTATAGTATTTCTTCAATCTCATCTCTAAATTATCTCTTTGAATTTTTTTTTAATACTTCAAGCCCATCTCTAAATTCTCTCTTCGAATTTTTTTTTTTATAATAAAGTTTAGAACCAATTTCTTATCAAATTTGTTTTCTTGGTGCTTATTTTATTGAAGGATTGAGACAAGTAAAACTTTCATATGATATATGATATTAATGAACACGATACACGATGGTAGAAAATACTACATATTTGTCGATACCTCTCTGATATCATTAGCTAATTTGCTAGATTATATTTTCAATTTAGAGTCCATATGATTTAATTCAATGTCTATGACTTTAGTGACATTCAACCATTTTTTCATTGAGTAACCGATATAATTTTTTTGTTGGTATATAATGATTAAAGCTATCATTTGTTATATTTCTTCAAGTACAATTAAAAATAATTTGTCATCATTTTTTTATAAATAAAATTGATTAAACTATTTTCTTATATAATTTTTATAATCCTATGAAATTCTTATCTTGAAATTTTTTTTTTCTTTCTTAAAATGTTGTAGGAACTATGAAAGTATTATCTATCTATACTATATATTAAGCAAAAGAGGATTTTTAACTCCAAGCCTTGTAAGAGCTCCAATCTCACAATCTAAATTTCCTGATTTTTTAATTTTTAAAAAAAAATCTTAGCATTTATTAACTTCTCCCAACTCCTAAGTCTTACCATCATAATAACATTTTAATGCATTAAAAACAAGCATAAAAAAAATTCTTTGAAATCCAACACATATAAATTCCTTGAAAAGTCCCAACACATATGATTATTATCCCTCATAATAACATTTTAATGCATTAAGAACAAGCATAAAAAAAATTCCTTGAAAAGTCCAACACATATGATTATTATTAAAATATTAAACTTTAATATAATATAAAAAAGGAAAAAAAGAAGACATTTAAAAAAAAAATTTAAAAATCACAATTCACAAATATAGATAATTGTAAACACAATCCGTGCATAGCACGGGTGATATACTAGTTTATGTTATGGGGAAGGATTTATGCTTTCGATATGATAAGCATGTGTCATTGATAGAGGATATCAAAAATAGAGAGTTAGGATCAATTAACGATTTGTTTGAGAAGTTCTTTTTATGAATCGGGTAACAAACTTAGATTAAAATTTTTAAAAAATTACATAGAAATTATAATTAAAAGTTGAGGATTAATCATAATTTGGTTCCAGAATAATAATATAAATCACTGATTTAAAAGTCTAAGTAAGTTTACGCTAACTTTTTTGAGTTTATAGAATTTCTCTATTTTAATACTTTGTTTTGTTTTTATTTTTGTTTTTTTTCTGCAGGACACTATAGTTTGATACAAGTTTTTTATTTTATCAAATGATTGTGATACTATTATCCCCAACAATCTTTATAATTAATAATTTTTTATGCATATCAAATTTTATTTTGAAATTTTGTTGATTAATTATTGTTGACATCTATCAAGATGGCCTAATATCATAATTTGCCACTATTAAAACATAATTCAATATTAGAATAATTTATTTATCACACAAAATATATAGTTTGTTTTTTCGTATATCACACGAATTATCGCTAGTAGAATGAAAGGTGAAAGACACAGTGAGAGAAGGAAAAATGCCTAACACCCCCAGTGGGGGTCACTGGGGGTCGCCCCTGATTGGCTGAAATTTTTTTTTTGGATTCCAGCCACTGGCAGTGTGCCACCTGCCACTGGGGTTCACTGGGGGTGCCCCCACTGGGGGTCGGTAGCATGGCTGGTGAGAGAAGAGTCTCGCCAAACAGAGCTAACAGTCTATTTGGCTTGCGGGATTTTAGTGAGAAAATAGACGAAACGAGAATAAGAGCTTCTTAGTTTTTAAATTAACATTGAAATTTGATTTATTAATTTTTAATTTTTTTATTTTCTATCTTTTTTTATTAATTAATCAATCAATTATTTTTTTCTCTTCTCTCTCCTCCTTCTTCTTGCATTTTACACATCAATCAATAATTTTTTTTTATTTCCATCTATTTAAGTAACTCGTTTAACAACTATATCTTTTAGTTAAAAAGTTAAAAAAATCATTATAAGTTGTCATATCACTCTCTCTACTTTTCTACATATCTTTTCTTAAAAAGTCAAAAAATTACTAAAATGGCTTGTTCATAAATGAGTTACACTTTTCCTCACATTCTCAATATTAACAAGTGTCATGAGAGCACTTGTTAGCATTTACCTAAATTAAATAGGATACGATTATCGAATGGACTTAATTTTTTATGTGAATTTAATACATAGTGTCCAATAAAATTAATCATCCAAACAAGATTTGTGATGAGTCCCATGTGCAAACAACACCATCTGCCTCCTTAAAAAATAGTAAACAAAACATAAATCTCCTTTGGCAAGAGTTAAATTGACTAAATAAATACCAAAAAATAAAATAAATTAAATAAGTCAATAAGATAAAGGCACCGTTTGGGAAGTGATTTTGTGGGCTTTTTTGGCTATTTTAGCTACAAAAGACAAAATAGGCTATTTTAGTCACGACAAATAGGCTATTTTAGTCACAACAAACAAAACATCACATCTATCCCATAATCATTACACTGTTCTCTCACAAAAAAAAGTTATACAAGCCAAAAAGCCCTTCCCAAACCAAGCTTTTTAGCCCAGGCTAAAATAGCCAAAAAAGCCAAAAAGTCAAAAAGCCAACCCACTTTTCAAATCAACCCAAAATGTCACATCTAAACTATAATCATTTCATTTTTTCTTTCACAATCATCACATCCAAACTAAAAAAAGTCAAAAATTTTTCCAAAACAAAGTTAATTTAGTTAGGTTAAATTTGCCAAAAAAGTAAAAAAATAAGGTTAAATTAACTCTTTTCAAATGAAGACATAATTACCCTAACTTTTTATTTTATTTTCTTCTAATTAAAATAATAAAAAAGTACAATTATTTTATTTCTTTTCAAATATTTTATTTTATTTTATTTTATTTTCTTCTAATTAAAATAATAAAAAAGTACAATTATTTTATGTCTTTTCAAATACCTAACCCTTTAATCTATATATATATATATATATTTCTTTTAGATCACGATTTTGTCATCAGTAATCTAATATATATATTATTGTCACTTTCAATTTCTTATAATAATTAATTGAAACTTGTTAATAGCTATGCAGATAATCATAGCATTAGAGACCAATAACACCGACACAAGAAATATTATGTGATATAAATTTATTTCAAGTGTAACTTTCAACTTACAAGAGTTGAATTTATATTACATACTATTTTTCTTTTTGAATTTTTCCTTTATATGAATTCTTAAATTTTAACATCATTGTTATATGATTAATCTCATGAGTTATTAAGGTTAAAGGCACAATATAAATAAGAAAAATATATTTGAAAAAATTTAAAAACAAAAAAATAAAATAAGGAAGATAATTGTTATATGAGCCTATGCTATTAGAAAGTTTTATTTTATAGGTAGGATGGTCCTAATGACTATAAGATATTATCATTAGGAATTAGATTCTCATCAATTCACATAGTAGATTAAATCGTACTATTCGAACACATGAAGTTTATCATGGATTCTATTTTAATAATTCGAACTATTTAATATATAGAGTTGTCGATTATTTCATTCATGTCAAAAATCACGTTG